TTTTAAAGTATGGCTTGTGTAAGTTAGTAGGGTAGGTATGATAGTATGTACAATATTTATATCAATTGATTTAATGAAATACATTTTCTTTAATAAAATAAATTTTGTCGTCCTGAAAAGGACGGATTAATTGATAGTTAATTCTCCACGTATATGTATTCGTATTTTAATAAATAAAATAAAATAATTTAAGCCTTCTTTTCTGTTTTCTTTGGCAAAAGTACAGCCTGAATGTTTGGTAGTACACCACCTTGTGCAATTGTAACACCAGACAATAATTTGTTCAATTCTTCATCATTACGTATGGCCAACTGTAAATGACGAGGAATGATTCTTGTCTTCTTATTATCGCGTGCTGCATTGCCAGCCAATTCAAGAACTTCAGCAGCCAAATATTCCATAACGGCAGCTAAGTAGACTGGAGCACCTGCACCAACGCGTTCAGCATAATTGCCTTTACGCAATAATCGATGAATACGACCAACTGGAAATTGTAATCCAGCACGATTTGATCGTGACTTTGCCTTGCCTTTAACTTTACCACCTTTACCACGACCAGACATAGTTGAGTTGAGTTTCTAGTAGTTGAGATTTATAAAAATTGGATCTATTTTTTTTTAATGTTGTTGAAAATTGAGTTCGAGTCGGTAAAAGTTAATACCTTGACTCAATTATAGTGGTAGACATTTCTAGATTATGTCCACTGGGTAAATGACGAGTGCTCAATTAATTTTATTGTTTAGTTTAGTTAATAATGGTACGGATGTCCGCGTATCTTCCTGTAGTGTGAATAGGTTGTTGGTGTAGATTTTGCAATAAAGTGTTGTCATGTGCATCTATTGATTTGAATAATTTGAGAGCCCTGTCTTTAATGTATAGTTTGATAGGTGTGATTTTTAGATCCCTTTGAATATCGACATTTCTTATGTACCAGGGAATGTTAAATATTTTTTTAATGGCTATATTTTGACATGTTTGAAGTTTGTTGAAGTTAGTTTTTGAAGTTTTGGAGAAAGCAATGAAGCCATATGATAGCGCCGGACGCATTATCTGGGTATAAAGCAACTTTTTATTTTTGATACTTAGAGCCTTGTTTTTGTAGAGCGGTCGTAAATGGTTTAGCATTGTGTTGATTTTATTTCTTAGATTGTATATGTGCGTGCTCCATTGGAATTTCTTGTCAAATGTAATCCCCAGGTATTTGATGTGGTCTTCCCAGTCTATATCGGTGTCATTTACTTTTAATTTTGGTGGATATTGCCACCGTTTTCTGGTTATGAAAATTGCCTTCGTTTTATCGTTATTAATTTTAATTTTCCATTTTTGGAAGTAAGAAGTGACACAGTCAACATGTTCCTGTAATGTGTTACTGACGTTTAAAGTATTTTTATCAGCATAGAATATACAGGTATCATCTGCATATAGGGCTAGTTTAGATGGTTCTAGCTTTGGAATGTCGGAAGTGAAGAGATTGTATAGGGCTGGAGACAATGGAGAGCCTTGAGGCACCCCTGCTTCAATAAATCTGGGGGTTGATAGATGATTATTGATTTTGACTCTGAATTGTCTTTTATGCATGAAGCTACCAATGATTTTGATGATGTTGAGAGGTAGATTTAG